AGGAGCGGCTGCTCCGCCCGCGCGTCCGTCGCCTCTCCTCGCCCGCTCCCCACCCCGCCCCCTCCGCCCCCGCCGCCTCGCAGGAGCAGCTCGCCGTCTCCTTCATCGCCCAGCTCGGCCGCGTCTGGAGCAGCGCGCGCATGCCGCTCCGCCTCTTCCCGTACACGATCCTCGCAACCTCGGCCACCGCCGGGCTCATCGAGGTCGTCCCCGACGCAAAGTCGCTCGACGGCATCTGCAAGACCGCCTCCTTCTCCTCGCTCGCCGCCTTCTTCCGCGCGCGCTACGGCGGCCCCTCCTCGCGCGCCTTCTATGCCGCCCGGCGCAACTTCGTGCAGTCCAGCGCCGCGTACTCTGTCGCGTGCTACCTCCTCCAGATCAAGGACCGGCACAACGGCAACATCCTGCTGCGCGCCGACGGCTCCGTCGTCCACATCGACTTTGGCTTCCTCCTCTCCAACTCGCCCGGCAAAAACATCGGCTTCGAGTCTGCGCCCTTCAAGCTCACGCGCGAGTGGGTCGAGGTGATGGGCGGCGCGTCGTCGCCGTGGTTCGCCTACTTTCGGCTGCTCGTCGTGCGCGGCTACCTCGAGGCGCGCCGCCACCGCGAGGAGCTCCTCCTCTCCGTCGCCGCCGCCTACCACGCCACCGGCGGCTCGCTGCCTTGCTTCCGCGCCGGGGAGGCGTCGATCGACGCGATGCGGCAGCGCTTCCGGCCGCACGACTCGGAGGTGCAGGCGGCGCGGTTCGCCGCGAGCCTCGTCTCCGAGTCCCTCGACCACTGGCGCACGCGCACGTGCGTCTCTGCGCGTGCGGGTGCGTGCTCGCCACTGCAGCGGGTGTGACCCCGGGAGGCCTTTTCGCTGTAGGTACGACTGCTACCAGTGGTGCTGCCTCGGCATCCGCTACTGAGCCGCGGCCCAGAAGCCGGCGTGGCCCCTGACGGACGTTTTCGTGAGATGTTCTGGCATGTGTAAGTGTGTGTGTGTGTGTGTGTGTGTGTGTGTGTGTGTGTGTGTGTGTGTGTGTGTGTGTGTGTGTGTGTGTGTGTGTGTGTGTGTGTGTGTGTGTGTGTGTGTGTGTGTGTGTATGGCGCGTGGTTGCCGGCGCGGTATCTCCGTCGTCCGTGGGGCAGACGCTGGGGTGTGCCCGTTCAGGTTTGTGGTGTGTGTGTTTTTGCTATTCTGTATTGATCGAGTTGTGAGCCAGAGGCTGCGACGGTGTGCATCACTATCAGTCACCTTATGCCACCGTCGCATAGTCTGAGGGTTACTAGGCTGCATCTAGAAAACCCCGGCTCTATGAGATCATGGAAAAAAGCATGAAATCTATATGAAGCGTGATTTCATACCGGATTTGTGATTTCACAACGCAAGATTCATGGGCATGATATCACACTCCGACCGTGAAATCACAGCTGGCTGGCGCGAGCGAGTGTCCCGTGTTCATAGCAGATACATGTCAGTGTTCAGGCGGAACAGCGGATCCTCTGCGTCGAGAGCGTCAGCCAGGCTCGCTATGATTGCGGCCCGGTATCGCACCTGCTCGCAGCTCACTACCCCGTAGTGAGGGCTATTAGCGCGTGGGTGCCCCCTGTGGCGGCGGCTTCCGGGTCGCTTCGACCACCGGAAGGCCTCAAACGGACCGACCGCCTCGCGGGGGGTCAGGGGGCGGATGCGCGCAGCATCGAGGTCGTGCAACGAGTCGAGCCATCGGATGTAGCACAGCTGCTCTGGCCCAAGGTAGCGCGCGATAAAGCAGAGAATGAGCTGGCCGTACCACAGCTTGCCCTGGCCATCGACATCCACAGCAACAAAGACAGGGGCCTCGCCGGTCGGCCGCACCTCTTGCCGCGTCTCATCCTGGCAGAGGGCGGCGTGTAGCTTCGAGCCGCCTCGCTCTGCTGCGCGGAAGTTGGCAGGCCATCGCTGCACTGCCACGCCCGGTCGAACCTCAAGTAGCGAAGAAGTGAGGCTGGGCATTCCACCGGGGACGAGGCGTCGTCGCTGCCGCCGCCCGTGGCTTGATGCAAATACAAGGCCACGGAGAAGGGAAGCTGAAGGAGGGAAGGGTGGATGTTTTGCGCAGCCCCAAGGTCGATTCGGCACACCGTCTCTCGAACCCCCATCAGCCGGCTGGGTGGGCCAAGCTGCGGCGACGCGAGAGGCGGCGGAGGCGCAGGCGAGGCGTCGGCCCTCTCCGCAAGTTGCAGCAGCAGCTTGAGCAGGTCGGTCCGACTGACCACCGTCGTCATCTGCTCCTCGGCACCGTGAGGGCCACGGTGGTAGTTGGTGCGTCTCCACGGCTCCTTGGCATTGCTCTTGTTGAGGAGTTCGCCGTAAGCGTCGTTGTAGTAGAGCAGGCTCCCTCGCCCGGTCGTCCAGTCGGCAAGGTGCGCACCGGCAGCGTGGAACTTAATGGAGTCCTCAAAGTGCTCCTTGCCAAAGAGGGAGATGGCCAGGTCCTGCCACTGCTCGTTCAAATCTGAAGCGTATCGCAGGCTCCCGTCAGTGTGAGCTCTGCGGTACATGAGCTCCAACCACTCAAAGTAGACGGTGAAGAGCTCGAGCAGCTGGGGGCAGCCGGGGGAGATGTCGACGAGGAGCAGTCGCCAGAAGCGGAGGATGTCTCTCAGCGTGTCGGCAGAGGCAATCTGGCCGAACTTGACAGTTCCCTCCCATGGGTCGAGTGGATTGATGTAGGCTCCGTACAGGTAATGCGAGATGCCTCGCGAAAATGCGCATTTGGTCATGTGCAGCGGGACGACGCGCGCCGTGATCCAGGCATCGATCTGCTTGCCCAACGCCTTGAAGTCACGGGAGGAGAGGCTGCTCTGCATCAGCTGGAAGGTGCACTCCATCAGCTTCTGGCCAGTGCCGTGCTCGCAAAAGTGCATCAGCGGGATGGCCGTGCCCTGGAAGACGTCCAGGCCCACCACCTCAAAGGCCGGGTTGGGATCAGGGTGGAGCCCGAGAGGCCGGGTGTGGTCCGCGCGCGCTGCAGCCGAGTGCGGGTGGAGAGCCCATGCCCGACCGATGTGCGCACGCTGGGTGGCGTTGCTCCGCAGGTCAAAGCTCTCGTGTGACCAGAACCCCGGCCCCTTCCTGGCGTAGCACATCCAGCACGCCTGGTTCTGCAGCGTCTGCGTCACCTGCGCAATCTTTGGGTAGTCGAGCGACAGCCCGAGCACCACGGGGTAGATGCGCTCAGCCTGGCCGTGCGCGCCAACAGCGGTGGTACCAACCAGGGAGATCATGCTCCTGTCTCGCATGCCACTGAACAAGTGTCGCATCTGCGCGCGAAACAGCAGCTTGCGCACAGTTGTCTTGCGCGCGTCAGACACCTCAAGCATGGCTCGGTCAGGCACCTTGGACAGGTACGAGAGGAGCATTCCATTGGAAGGCTGCCGGGCCTGCTCCAGTGGAAGAGCCAGGCTGGTGACGGACACGGGGCAAGCCGAGCGCTCGCCGTTCTTGGTGAGATTTGTATCGTCCCAGTACAGCTTGAGCGCAAAAGCAATGGCCGAGGGGTCCCGAGCCTGGATGGCGCCACAGAGCTCGAGCAGCACATCGCCCGAGTAGGGATCCGCGTAGACGCGGTCACCACTGCTGCGCTCGACGAGCCGCCGTGGGCGACAGTGCTCCGGCGTCACAAAGCGGAAGAGGAAGCGGGCCATCGCATCCAGCTTCCGATAGTGCATCACGACAGCGACCGGCGGCTCACCTGGGGTCAGCTCCACCTCGATGGTGACTGTGTGAAATCGAAGCCCGAGTTTGTCGAGCAAGCCATCCACCACCGCTCGCATCGGCGACAGTCCACGCCGTGCATCAATCAGCAGCGGTTGGAGCGACCCGACCGTGTCCTCCTGCTCGCGAGCGATGGCCGAGGGCGCGTCATGGTTGGAAGTGCCGATGAGCTCCTGGTGTGCATACCACCGGAACGTGCGCATATTGCCAAAGAGTGCGCCCAGCTGGATGTCAGCAAAGTACGGCGGCGGCAGAGGCGGACGCGGCGACACTCGCGGCTCGCCTGGCTTCCGCCGAGCTTCTCGGCGCTCGTGCTCACGCTGCGGCTGCTCCGCCTGCTGATCTGCGACGCGATGCGCGTCGCGATCGAGTACCGCGTGTGCTGCTGCGTCGAGGTCGCCAGGGTGTGCGTCGCGGATGTGCCACGAGAGCTGTGTGTAGCTACGGCAGACGCGGCCACAGTCGGGAGCACACGAAACGCGCCAGTTAGTTCTTCGGTTGTTGCGCGCTCGACCAGCTTCGCTGAGACGGAAAGAATTTCGTGCAGGCTTGTTATTGCGAGGGAAGACGCATATTCCAAACCTGCAAACCATCTCGAGCGAGTTTATCGTTCCTCAGGGCAGCTCCATTCCTCCATTCACCGCGCGCTAAGGCCGTTTTTTCTCTTTCTCTCTCATGGATGAATGGCGTCTTGGTGTGCACGTTGTGTGCAGTGGTTAAGAGAAATTAGTTTATACACGACATGCTGCTGCCCCAAGCTGGCACCACCCAGAAAAGCATGTCTTGAAATGCGTCTGCAGCCTGCAAGCAGCCGTATTCTCTCTCTCTCTCTCTCTCTTGAAGAATGTCGCCGGCTTTTTCAGCAACCTACTTCCCTTTACACCGAACACAAGAACACAACACCTAGACCGCGCGATTCGCGCATTCGAGGCGGGAGCGGCAAAGGAATCTTCGGTTCGCGCTCGAAATTCACGGACCATGATCCCACGGTCGCTTCTTCAACCGTCTCTGTCGTTCAACATGCCTCAGAAGCGCCAGCGCCGCGCTCCCCGTGTCAACACGACACCCGTCACCGACCAAGCTGGCAAGACAGAGGCCAAGACGCTCCAAGACCTCGTCAACCCGGAGCCGACTGCCGAGGCGCGCGCCTGCTTCGCAGCGACCGCCACGCCTGCGCTGCGCTCTACACGCTTCTTCCGTGCCCCACACAGGTTGACGCGCGCAGCGAGAGCGGCTCCTCGGACCCGTCGTACGCGCCATCCGAGTCGGGCTCGGCCGACGGCCTCGGCGGCGGCATCCTCTCCTCCGTCGAGGGCTCTGAGGACGGCATCTCTGACCCCGAGCTCGAGGACGAGTACGAGGAGGCTGCGCGGGCCGAGGACTCCAACGGCGCGGACGACCCCAACCGCGAGTTCAACCAGGCGCTGCTCACGCAGGCGATCACCGCCCTGCCGAACAACATCGCCACCGCCCTCGTCTCGCAGCTCATCCCGGCGCTCGGCGGCGCCGCCGCCGCCGCTGCCGGCCCGGCCGGTGGCGGTGGCGGCGGTGGCGGCGGTGGCGCTGCCGCGGCGGGCGCCTCCCCGTACTGGCAGCCTACTCCCGACCGGCGGACGTTTGCCGGCAAGCGCCACGTCGTCATGCGCGCCATCAAGGTGTCGCCGAGATTGCCCGAGATTGCCCGAGAGTTGCCTGAGATCGATCGAGATCGCCCGAGATCGCTCCATACAAACGCCTGAGGCGCCATGTCATTGTGCGCCCCATCCAGGTGTACGTGCTCGCCCACCTTGACGAGACCGTTGCCGGGCTCTCCCTCGACGACATCCTGCCGGGGGTCATCGCTGCGCTGCCGCTGCCCGACAACACCGGGTCCAAGGTGCTGCTCAAGACGCAGTTCAAGCAGAACCTCCGTGCGACGCTGCGCGAGGCGGAGTCGGAGCTCAACACCGACCTCCGCAACCAGTTGCTCCTCATCTACTCGGGCATCATCCACCGCGTCATGGTGCACGCCTCCAACGCCACTCTGCACGCGGCGGCCAAGGCGGAGCACGTGGCGCTGTTCGCTGGGCTGGTGGCAGCGCCGCCCGGCTTCAAGCTTGAGGGCGAGGACGAGTTCATGTTCGCCTTCCACGCCGCCGTCGACCCGCAGAACCACACGCTGCTGGCCTTCGCGCACAAGGAGTGGCCCGCGCTCCTCCAGCAGTACCTCACCTTCCTCCCGTCGGGCCGCTCGCGCACCATCACGCTCAAGTTCGTGGCGTACACGGTGATGTCGCTGTGGCAGACGCTCACCTTCGTCCCAGACACCGAAGGTGCGTGCGCACCTTCTGCGGCGAGAGAAGTCGCCCACACCTCACCAGTTCTGTGATCTGTGCCTGTGCCTGTAGGCGTGCTGCAGTACGGCAAGCGCAACCGCGAGACAGGCTCTTCCGCGCGGTTCGAGAGGATCAAGGCGTGGCTGCTCGACGCCGACGCGTGCCCGACCAAGTGGGAGCCGCTGCTCCGCATCCGCGAGGCAGCGGCCTAGGCGGCTGTGCCAGCAGCCTTGCGCCAGGGCGCTGCCAGCGCGACTCATCGCGATCTGGGGCCGCTCAGGAGGCGCCGCCCCGGTGCGAGGCTTCCTCACGAGAGACTAGGCCTCTAGGAGCGAGAGGCAGCTACGAGCTGAGCCTTTCCGCCAGTGGTGCATTGCGCGCACCCGCGGATCTCGCGCCCAGTCTCTCTAGTTTCTCCCACTCTCTCTGCATGTCATGTCCCTCGCGCTATGAATGAGTGAGTGTGTGTGTGTGTGCACCGCTTGCGCGGCGCGGTGTACGCTCTCGCCTCATTTATCGAAGCATGTGGGACGAAATAAAATGCATGCTGCCTGTGGGGCTGGGGGGACCGTCGTGCTCGCCGCACGGGCGTGCCCCCCGGTGTGTGATTTCACAGCGCGACCATGAAATCATATGCTGTGAAATCAGGCGTGTGATTTTCATGAGAGAGGAGTTGTGATCTCACGGTTCCATGACTTCATGGCCAAAATCCATGATATCATGGAAGGGGGGAAATTCAGATGCTGGGTTTTTAGGCATTGTGGGGTTGGCACTCCCATCGACCCTCATGACCTCCTGCGGTCTCTGAGATGGACACCAGTGGGTGTGGGACCACAGCCAGGATACACTCGAAGGCTGGGTAAGCAGTAGAGGTCGATACTCGACGCGTCCCACATGGTCTGTGTCGCTGTCGGCACGCTGTCGACAGGACGTCGAGCGACACCGGTGGCAGTGCCACCCAGGAGTGGTCGGGCGGTCTCCCGTCATGAGAGAGCCACCATGTGATCCGTATGATAATTCCTGACAACCGCCTCAGTCAACTTTCGTCACAGTTCCCGCTCTGAGAGGAGCTGCGGGTCAGTTCGAGAGCTGTGTCGCCGGCGTGCAGCGGCCTGCCTCCGGAGGTGCCTCTGAGGTGGACATTTTTTGGTCACCGCGAGAGAACGCGTTCGAATTTTTACACCGGAACTTAAACTTCACACGCGCACCGGCCAGGGCTACAATAGTGCCAGTGAGGCGGAGGCGCGAGTCGGAAGGCCGCGACCGTCAAGTGTTCCCTTCGTTTTCCTACAATCGCTGTGAACCCAGCCACGTAGGAGTAAGTTAGGTTTCTGGAGCCTCGGGTGCTTTTAGACTTTTGAGATCGGGTCAGGGGAGAGTGCGACTTTTATCACTTCGATCGTCTCGGAGCGCCTAACTTTTAGCATTTCGTCTCAAAAAAATTCGGCGCTCCGGGCCGGAGGCTCCGCGCGCCGGAGGTGCAGTAAGTAGTAGCTATTGTCCCGCGAAGTAGTTCCCGCACACTATGGCGAGAAAAATGCTGTGCTGCTCGCCTCGAAAGCGCCCCTCGCAAATTTTTTGCGTGCCTGCGGCGCGCGACTTTTACCATTTTGCCCCGGGCGGGCCCACTTTTGTCGTTTTGCCCCAACTCTACGCCTAGGCGTGCTTTTAGCGTTTTGACCCAAATCGGCCGAACTTTTAGGATACCCTCAGACTATGCACCGTCGGAGGAAGGATATGAGGGATAAAGCGTATGGTTGCGCGACGGTGGCAAAGGTGACTGATAAGTGATAATACAGGTTACAGTTTACACCGTCCGCGCGTCGCACTCGCAGGCCGAGGCGGCGGCGAGGCGCGGCAGGGGTACTCTAGAGCGCGCAGAGAGCGCTTGGCCCAGCCCCCAATTTTATCGAATTTATTTCAAAAACAAAATCTGCAGGCGCGGAGCGCCTTGCGAAAATTTTGGACGGAAATTTGCGGTCGGGCCCCTGATTTTCATCAAGATCTTTCAAATTTGCGGTGTGGAGTTGGGGGTCCGGTCCACAGGTCCGGTCGGGTTCGGGTTCGGGTTCGGGTTCGGGTTAGGGTTAGCAAGGGTTAGGGTTAGGGTTAGGGTTGGGTTAAGGTTAAAATTAGTCTTGTTGTGTCTGCTGTATATGCCAGCGTTGCAGGTTTCTGCGCTGAGGTCTGGCCCCAGCGCCGACGAGTAAGACTCAGCCCCGTACGCTGACCTAGGGTTAGGGTTAGGGTGTTAGGGTTAGGGTGTTAGGGTTAGGGTTAGGGTTAGGGTTATAGGTTTAGGGTCAGGGTTAGTCTTGTTGTGTCTATATGCCAGCGTTGCAGAGTTCTGCGCTGGGATCTGGCCCCAGCGCCGACGAGTAAGACTCAGCCCCGCACGCCGACCCCACCAAATGCCGCCTCAGGGTGCCAGCCACCTCTTACACCCGGCCGGCGCCCTCTCGCGGCAAAAGGGTCAAGCGAGCGGGAGAGTCGCGATGTCTGCGCACCCGCGCACCCGCGGGCCGATGGGCGGCACACGCGGCTGAGAGAGGCCCTTTCACGCCGCCGGTAGCGTTCCGCACTCCCCACGCCACCAAATGCCGCCTCAGGGCGCCAGCCACCTCTTACACGCGGCCGGCGCCCTCTAGCGGCAAAAGGGTCGAGCGAGCGGGCAGAGTCGCGATGTCTGCGCACCCGCGTGCCGATGGGCGGCACACTCAGCCGAGAGAGGCCCTGTCAGCTGTCACGCCGCCAGTAGCGTTCCGCACTCCCACGCCACCAAATGCCGCCTCAGGGCGCCAGCCACCTCTTACGAGCGCGGGTGCCGCGTATAGCGAGTCCGTTTCCGGTGGCCACTACCGGGCTTGGTCCCCTCGCTGCGGGCGGAGACGGCGGGGAGAAAGGAGGCCCCCGCCAGAGGCTCGAGCCCCCCGAGCGCGGCGCGCCGCGGGGTAGCCTCCTGCCAAACGGGAGCTTAACAGTGTTGCTAGTGTTAACAGTAACAACAGAACAACAGTGGGGCTCCCCAACAACTACCTATGGCATGTCCAACGCATCAAGCGGCCGATCGTTGCCGCAGCCGGCAGCCGCCTGTGCTGTCAGAATCTGCTGCGTGCCCTTGAGGGCGGCATCGATGATGGACGCCGCCTCCTTATCGTACGCCTCGTTGAGCAGCGCTTGCAGCTTGCGGCCCCGCCGCTGGCTCAGCTCGAGCTGCCCGCGCAGCCTCCTCAACTCCTCGTCGCGCTCCTCAAGCATCGCGAACAGGCTGCTCAGCGAGCCAGAGAGGGCTCGGGCAGCCTCCGCCGTGACACGGTCTTGTGACGGCGGGGCCGGCGGTGGCGCCGAGAGCTGTCCGCGCGGCGGCGGGTAAGGCTGCTCCTCGAGCGGAGCTGTGGCGGCGGCAGGCAGGGGTTGCTGAAAGTTCCAGGAGAGAGCGTCGGAAACTTCGCCCGGCAGCTTGCTGTCCGGCGGCGCTGCGGTGGCGGAGGCGTCGGCGGAGGCGGCAGCAGCACAGTCAGCCGTGGTGGGTCTCGCTGGCCCTCCTCCAGGCCGACAAGGCAGCGCGCAGAATGTGGACGCAAACGCTTGTCGGTCAGACAGCGACACGCCGAGAGCAGCGAGCCGGCGCAGGAGGACGGTGCGCACCAGCCGAACCTCTCCGGACGGCGGCGCGCAGTCGGCAGCGAGCTCCTCCCACGTGACTGTCGCCAGCGGGCCAGTCAGGTGCCGAAGGGAGGCTGACGCAGCGACGAGCTGCATCAAGGCGGGGTCTGGAAGGGTGGGTCTCTCGCTGTTCTCAATGAGGCCTTCCATGACGCCTCCCATGCCAGCGGCGGACATTGCGTTGCCGTGAGCAGTGAGCGGTGAGTGAGCGGTGAGCGAGTGTGAGTGTCACACAGCGGTGAGTGCCGCGCGAGAATTTTACAAGGCGACCGCGCGAGAGACGGAGCTGCAAAAGAATTTACTTTGCAAAGAATTTTACAAGAAAACCCGGGCACGGGACTGGCGCGCACTGGCACTAACACAGGTACACCAGCTGCAAAAAAGTCTCGGCAAAAGAAGTCTCCCTGACCCGGTACACGGAACCATCCCTCGGAGACGTGTTATGGCCCTGCGACCGCGCACCCCCGGGGCTAGGGCTCTCTTGCCCGTAACCCGATGCCGAGCGTCCGGCCAACTGGGTGCGCTTCTTAGCTCCCCGGTCCTGGACGTGAGGTTGATGACCGCACTCCAAGTGCTCCAAGTGCTGACGGCAGACAGGCTCGACCGACAGGTGCGGACTGGCGCGTGCTAGCACTATCACAGAATTTTCCCGAAACCGACGAGAACAAAATTTCGAAATCGCGTGCCGTCCTCTCCCTGGCTCCCATCGTCCCTCCCTTGGGTTGTCTGTTTTCGTTCTTTTCTTTCTTCTCTTTCTCCGAAATCGACACGCACCCAAGTAGCACAAGACTGGACAGCGTCAACCCCGCGTCACCCTCGCACGTTCGCACTCGAGCCCATGAAGTCCGCCTGCCAACTGTAACGGGACGATGCCTGCGCACCCTGTTGCGCACGGCGGGACGATGCCTGCGCATCAGCACCCGTCCTTCGAGAGCCGCCCCCCGACCTTCACTCGGCCGGAGGGGCGCGCCGAGGCACCTTGAAGGGGCGCGCCGCCGCCGAGGGAGCCGACGGAGGCGCGGCGCCCGGAGCGACGATGGGATTGCGAGACGCAAGCGGGGGGCGGCGGTTCGGCCGCGCGCCGAGCGGCGGCGGCGGCCGGCGGGGCGCGTGGAGCGCGCTCGGCCCGGCGGCGGCGACGGGCACTGGCGGCAGCGGCGGCGGACAGGGCTGCAGCGCTCGCTCGGCGCAACGGTCGCAGCAGCTCTCGGGCGCGGCCCGCGCGCCCTCAGCCGACGCCACCTCCCCAAAGTGGGCGAGTAGCGTGTCTCGCCGGCACGAGCGAGTGTCGCAGTAGCGCCTCACTCCTCCGCTGGTGCCTCCGCCGCGCCGCTCGTCGGCGGAGCCGCGCCGCTCGTTGACGTACACGCGAGAGACGGCCGGCGCGCCGTCCCTGCCTCCGCGGCCCGCCTCCTGCACCAACGCGGCGAGGCTCTTTGGCAGGTCCCAGTGCAGGACCCAGCGCACGTCCGGCTTGTTGACGCCGAGGCCAAAGGCGATGGTCGCGACGAGCACACGCGCAGTCCCGTCGAGGAAGTCGAGCTGCAGCCGCTCGCGCGCCTCGCGCGGGAGGCCGGCGTGGTAGGCGGAGGCGTCTACCCCTGCCTCCGAGAGGGTCGTCGCGAGGGTCTCGCACCCCTTGCGCGACGCGCAGTAGATGATCCCGCTGCCCTCGTGGTCGCACAGCCACTCGTAGAGGTCCTCCAGCTCGTCCTCGTCGCTCACGAAGCCGCTCGCGACGCTCCAGAAGAGGTTGCGCCGGTCCACCGAGCCAATGACCCGCACCTCGTCCGCCAGGCGGAGCGAGCGGCACACGTCCGCGCGGACCTTGTCTGTCGCCGTCGCCGTCAGCGCTTGGAAGGGGACGCCGGGCAGCTGGCTGCGGATGGCGCCAATCTCGAGGTAGCTCGGTCGGAAGTCGTGCCCCCACTGGCTGACGCAGTGCGCCTCGTCGACCGCGAATGCAGCGAGCAGGCCCCGCCCGTGGAGGCTGCGCAGCATCTCCTTGACGCGCGGCGTCTGCAGCCCTTCGGGCGTCAGGTAGAGCAGCTTGGTGTCGGGCGCCTCCTCCTCCAGGTCCGCCGCCAGAGCGTCTCGGGCCGCCGCGTCGAGCGACGCCGACCACGACGCCGCAGAGATGCCTCGCTCACCGCACTCGCGGAGCTGGTCAGCAGCCAGGGCGACGAGAGGAGTGATGGCGACGGTGACACCCGGCGACGCCGCGGCAGGGAGCTGGAAGCAGAGCGACTTGCCGAAGCCTGTGCTCTGCACGATGAGTGAGTCTCGCCGCTCGAGCACCGCGCGGATTGCCGCTTCTTGGGCTGGCCGCAAGCTTGAGCCGGCACCCCAGCCGGCGGCGAGGGCTGCGAGCAGCGGCGGCGGCAGAGGTGGCGGCGGCGGCGGCGGCGTAGCGTCTGCTGTGCTGGAGGCGGGAACGCACACACACATAGTACAGCCCCGGCACGATGGTGCGTTTGGATTCGGTACTTCAGCTTGGTATGGTATCATCGCATCATACCCCAGGGCTATACCCTGATACCCTCTAGAATCCGCATTGGGTCCCTAGTTGATACCCTCCGTGGGTTACCCTTCACACCGGACACGACCCGCCTCTTCACACCTCACCTCTTTCGCGCGCTGCGCGCGCGCCGAGATAGACAAGAACGCGCTCGAATGAGCGTCGCGCAGGAGGGAGGCGAGCGCACCACTAAGCAATGCGCTGGGCGAGGAGGGCGGCAATTGCGGCCGTCGTCGCATTGGGCGGCCTGCGGCCGCCAGCCGGCTAGCGGGCTAGGCAGCCGGTGCGGCTGCAGCCGCGGGAGCGGCCGCGGCCTCTCGATGACATTGCCTTCCGCCTCGAGCATAATCGCTGGGAGAGTCACCTGGCAACGCTGCGTTCGCGCGAAATCGATGCCGCCTGCTTTGACGGCTATGGATGGAGCGAGGCGTGGCCGTTCTCGCCATTCGTTTCAGTCTCGCCCGCTGGCGTGCCCGCGCAATTCAGGATTCGCTGCTTGTTGTCGCAAGAGCACCGGCTGCCATCTCCTCGATACACCGTGATGTTTCCAGCGCATGCGTCATCAAAGGAGGGCTTCGAGTCGGTGCACTCGCGTCGACACACGACGATTTCAGGGATGGCATCCGTGAACCTCCGCACCCGCGTCTGGTTGTGGTACTGAATCGTGTCGAAACCGAGCTTCTGCGTAGCTTCACACACAGGCTGGTAGTCCAGCGCAAACGGATAGTGAGGTGGCAATGTCATGTTCAATCCGAGCAGCTGCACCGCCCTCACGCGTACCCGCGCGAAGACTCCGACCGATAGAAATGTACGTGTCACTGCCCGGAGCGACAAAAAACCAGCAGCCCTTGAGCCCCCCTTCGCGCAGCTTCGGACGCGGGTAGAAGGCGCGCTGCGCGATGTGGACGACGGGCACGAGTGTGTTGTCATCCAGGAACGGCAAGGGTGACCCGATGCAGTCGCTCTGCCTCCAGTACCCAAAGCGGTCGAGGCCACGCTGCGGGCCCATACCACCGATAGTCGCAGTCTGGTTGCAGCCTCCGAAGCTCTTTGGCACACTTGGGAGGCAGGATTGCAAGCCAACCATTCCTTTAGCGCAGCGCTGCCAGCGCGGCCAGCCATCCTCGAGCTGCACTATGGGATGGCCTGTGCCCCATCTCGGGCCCAATGTCTCTGTCCGTACCGACCACATCACCCCCCGTCACAACGTGCGACTGTCGAGTTCGGAGGTGCAGGTCGATCACGCCAGCAAGGACGATTGCGGTGTGTCGGTCCGCCAACGAGCGGATGCCCATTTGACTCTCCCAGCTTGCATGCCAGGGAGCAGGGTGACCCTCCCTAGATCTATGATCTGTGATCTGTGATCTGTAAGGGTCCGCCCGCAGGCGCATTTTGTATACCGAGGCGGTGCCCGGTGCCGAACCTGTCGGACCTTAAGACAGCATTGTAGATCCCTGGGCGAGGGGTCTGTCGGCGCGCTAAATAAACCGTAACCCGCCGGGGCGGGCCGGATCCACGCGCTGTCGGACCGCCCTGTCGGAGGTAGACCGCTCGTCTAGCCAATCAGCCTTAAGCGAGCGGTCTGGCCGTTGGAATGGCCGAGTTTGGTGGACTTGCGTCCTCGCATCGATCGTGGTTACAAGTAAGTAGCGTTATGAACAGAGGGATGGTCAATCCCTTCCTCGACCCGTTGGGCGGCGAGAGCCATCGCCTCGCCTGGGCAAAGGACCCGGAGTACGCGAATCAGGCGGGCTCCAGAGTGCCCCCGGCCCACCCCACTATGGCGCGGGCGGTAACGCAGGCACGCGCCCCAGGTGGAGAGCGATATTTTGGCGATGCTGGCGCAAGGCGACGACGGGGTGATATCCGACGAGTTTGCGGTGCGCGCGCGGAAGCTGCGGAAGCTGTGGAAGCTGCGCGTTGCCTCCTCCCCCCCCCAGCCGACCCCTCCCCCCCCGCCCCTACGCATGGCGCAGGCTGACGTCGAGCGCAACTACAACAACATGATCAACCGGCTCAACTTGAACTTCAACTTCCTCCGGCGCGGCAGCAGTGAGATGCGGCCTTCGCCCTCGCACCCCCCGCCGTATGTGGATGACTACACGTACGCCGACTCGCACAGAGTGTAGTAACACAGGCGGATCCCTTTCTTATGCATGGTCCATGAGCAGTTTCTATGTCGATAAAAGAAAGCTTCCCATCTCACATCACCTGCCTCTCACCACTCATCTCATCGAAAAATGATAGCTGCCACCCTGCTCGCTGCCGCGGTTCTCTCCATACATCCCATCGGCCTCAGAATCTGCAAGAATAGCGTCTGCCGCAAGGCGGGCTCGGCGGACACACTCGATTCCCTCTTTGCGCTGGCTGCCGCCTCCGATCAGGCCAACTCCAACCAGAACGGCGGAGTGGCGCTCGCGACGCTGCAGGAGGCCTTCGCGGCAAGCCGCGTCCAGGCGTGCGGCTGCCTGGGCGGCTGCGGGTCCGGCCCCAACGTGGTCACCACCGACGGCGGCCCGTCGGACGTCTTCCACGACGTCTACAAGCCGTCATCGTGCGCTGCGCTCCTGGACCATGTGGGCGTGACCGTGCCAGAGGCGGCGCAGCGAGCGTGGCTGCGGCGCATGTACGCGATGCGGGCGCTGCGCTCCAATAAGGGTGGTGAGGCCTTGGCGCTCCTCACCGAGGCGCTGCAGGAGGCGTCGAGTCTCAAGGGCCGGGCGGCGCATCTGCTGACGCTGCTGCTCGAGCAGCGGGCGGACGTGCACGAGATGCTGCGCGACGCGCCGAGCGCGCGCGACGACCGCGAGCGCGCCGCGAGGCTGCGCGCCATGCCCGCACCGGTCGCGTGAGGGCTGGCCGCGTCAGCTGTGATGGTAGGGCCGTCAAGGTACAGGGAGTGACCGCGAGAGTCCGCATGAGCGATGCGGCACGGAGTCAGTTGGCGGAGCAGAGTCTATAGCGCTGTGTGCGATGGCCATGCGCTGTGTGTCCATTACGCACCATTTGGTCTTGGAGCAGAAAGAAAGAAAGAAAACAGACAAGCCAAACGAGGGATAGGGGTTAGGGCATAGGGGAGGAGGACAGGGTGTCAGTGTCAGGGTCATCCTCCCCACCTGCACGAGCAGGATTTTGGAAGGACGATCAGGGGCACAGGTGGGGCTCTCCTGCTCCTGACTGGTCTTGGAACTTTCTCTCATTTTTTAAAAGAACCTTTGGTCCACTTCCCTCCTTCTTCCGTTTTCCCGGAATTTTCCAGCAGATCAACCACGCAACCATGCTCTCCTTCGTGTCGTCGACCTCCAACGCCTTCGCCGCGCCCGCGCGCGTCATTCGCCCGACGGCGGCCCCTGCCGCCGCCTCTATTCGCCTCGCCAACGAGATGGAGCCCGAGGAGGGCTGGAACGTCGACAACCTCACCGACATGATGGACACCGCCTCTAACTCCGTTGCGCCCACCACCTTCAATGGCGCCACGTTCGCGGCTGCCCTTCCCGGTGCGACTGCTCCGCTCGGCTACTTCGACCCCCTCAACTTCTGCGCCGAGCGCGACGAGGAGACGATCCGCTTCCTCCGTGAGGTCCGTTTCCTCCGCCAAATCTCCCGAGCTGCCACCCTGCCACCAGCACCCGAGCCTCCCGCCTCCCACCTCAACTTTGTCTCGTCAGGTCGAGATCAAGCACGCGCGCGTCGCGATGCTCGCCGCGCTGGGCTTCCCCGTGGCCGAGCAGTTCCATCCGCTGTTCGCGTCAGATGACGCCCCCTCGTACGTCGCCTTCCAGCAGACGCCGCTCCAGACCTTCTGGCCGGTGGTTGTCGGCGTCATCGCGGTCGCCGAGGTTTTCTCGGTCTTCACGTTTGAGAACCCGGGCACCAAGCTCTGGGGCATCCGCAAGGACCACGTCCCGGGCGACCTCGGGTTCGACCCGCTCGGCCTCAAGCCGTCCAACGCCGCTGCCCTCGCCGAGATGCAGACCAAGGAGCTCAACAACGGGCGGCTCGCGATGATTGCCATCGCCGGAATGGTCGGGCAGGAGCTCGCCACCGGCAGCAAGCTGTTCTGAGCTCCCAACTCCCCTGGGGGCCTCCACTCACACACACGGACCATGTAGGTAGCGTGTCTTGTTCCCTCCGCCCGGCCGCACAGAGCGCGCACAGAGGCATATTGTTTATTTTCTGGCTAGCTCCATGAAGATGACGTAAATAACCGCGTAACGAACCGACCACACGGTAAACATGTGCGCGACATGCGCCTGACGCCTCGCGTCGGCGAGGGGCCACAAAATCGACAAATGCACAAAAAGAGTAAAAAACCCGCAGCGGCATATGTGCATTGACCATATTGTGTACATCTTGCTCGATCGGGCGGGAGAAAGTGTGCGCGTCTACACGCGAGTGTTACCTGAGTACGACCGGAGCACTAAGAGCTAAAGCGACGGCTTCCTAAGCGTACCCTCTCCCTCCTCTGCTTCTGCTCTATCGTGTATCGTCTCGACGCCATCAGCCAGAGTTGTACAGCCAGTCGAGCCCAGAGCGCGCGCACTTGTCGTTGAAGCGCGCTAGCCATCGCTCAAAGACGTCCCCGCGGAGGACGATGTACCCGGGCGGCGGCACCCCGCCTCCCGGAGCCGCAAAGGAGGCGACGTACTCATACAGGTCCTTCCCTATGCGCCGGCCCGCCTCGAGCACCTCAACAGAGACCATCTCTGCGGGCCGGGCAGCGAGCTGGGCGGTGGGCTGCAGCTCGATCCCGAACTGGACGCACGTTGGCAGCGCGTCGCGCGCCGTCCACACCAGGCGCGTCTTGAACACTACCGACGGCGCCTGCGCGGTGATTGCCCCGAGGTAGTGCCAGGACGACTCCTCAAAAGGCGGCGACGCGATGTGGCAGCCGAGCGCAGTGCTCGGCTCCAGGGGCTCAGTGACGAAAGCGACGACCTGCTCGCGCGTCGGCGGCGTGCCGTCGGTGGCACGGGCGCACAGTGTGCAGGGTGATCACAGCGCACCTCGTTGATTGCCTCCTGACACTCGAGCGTGACGATCCAGCGATTGGACGCGACCTGCTTGAAGGCGTTCGCACTGACCGGAGGGTGACCGGGCACTATGCAGTGGAAGGACATCGCGGTAGCGTCACGGTGGTTCGTAACTCACTCGAACAGACGCCCACCCGGCGCCAGCGGCCCGACTGAAGAAATCCGCCGACCACACGAGTCGGCGTGCCTCTCCTTAAAATCCCTGTGTGGTGGCGGCGTGCCGTCCTCCCATCCCTCCCTTGGCATGTCCGTTTTCTTTCTTTCTTTTTCGGCGTGCCGTCCTCCCTCCCGTGGGTTTCTTTTCTTTCTTTTTTCTTTACAACCACGACACACGAGGCGAGAGGGATAACATGCTCAGCAGAGTAGACGAGGCGGCTCAAGACAGGAGAGGGGGTGTGTTAGGGGGCATGTTGGGGGGGATTCAGAGTACACGCGTGCAGGGTCGCGCTCGCGGAAGGAAGGCGACCTCTGAGGGGGCGAGCGTATCAAGTGGTGGTAGCGTGCAAGCTCCGATACTGTTCAGGCGCCAACGATGAAGTGAGAGCGATCGCATTCCGGCGCCGCGAGCTTGCCCTTACCAACACCTATGCGTGTGCACGGCCGACGTGGGCTCGGGGACCAGTGGGCGGTGGACCAGTGGAGGTCAGCCGCGAGGGCGTGCCTTGGCTGGGCTTGCCCGGCTGGCAGTACCGCAGCGTAACAGGCCCGTTCGCCTTGATCTCAAGCACGTTGCCACCGTCGTCCGCCACGCTGCAGTACGGGCACGTTCGCCTCTGCTGGAACCAGATCTCGCCGCACTTGACATGCATGCGGTGGCCGCACCGGGAGCACTCGATGAGACGGTGGTCAAAAATCCAGTCGGTGCAGAAGCACCTGAAATTTTGGGAGCGCACGCCCGGAAGCATGCCGATGTACCGCTCTACGTCCTCCGCAGAGGCGAACCTACTCACGCCGCGGGGGGGTCAAAGGGCGGCAGCCGGCGGCCCGAGCGACCGATCAGGCCCTGCACCGTAGCTTCCCGTGTGCAGTGGAGCACTCGAGCTTCATGGGGCAGAGCCGGTGGGGCGTGCACCAGCCGCCACCGGGTAGGACCAGCTTCGTCACGTCGACCCTTACAAGCGGCCGAAGCCGGCCACGCACCAGGAAGGCGCCAAGCTTACCACGAGGTGGTGGGGCAAGGGGGGGCAACCCTCGCGTCTCCACGTCTGACGACAGGAGCCCCACGGCATTCAAAGTGCAAGGCCCAGTGCGCGTGGGTGTGGGTGAGCGGTGTGTGTGTGTGTGTGTTGTGTGTTTTACTTTTTAGATGTTTACGGATTACGATTTTAACGTGCCCGCCCGCGTCTGCCGTCTGCGTCTCGCGAGCGGGGGGCAGCGGTGACACAAAAAGCTCTAAAAAATGTAGGATCCACACGGACGCACCCCTCCCCCCCCTGCGGGGTCAATACGTCAGCAGGACCGGACCCAATGCTAAAGCGATATCCCCAGCGCGACGCCGACGCGCGGCGGTCTACTTCCCCTGCGCGGCTGCGCGGCGACAGACACCACGGTGGTGCATGCAACATGCGTGCGAGAGCCGCCTCTGACCGCGAACGATAGGTCGGCGGGTCTCCGCCCTGCCAGCCAGTGGCGAGCCAACCCTCCCCCCCCCCCCCTCCCCCCCCCCGCCCCCCGGTGCCCACACTCCTCACCGCCGAGCCTTTGCGATGGCGGGCCCAAAGCAGGCGCCAAATGCGCCGAGCAACGCCTCGCCCGCCGCCTTGGCCGCGCCGTCGCGAAGGAGCGCCGCGATGGCCGCAAGCCCATCCTCGGCCACCACCGCCGCCTGCAGGGGCTCGTCTCCAGACAGGAGCGTCGCGAGCGCGCTGGCCGCCTGGTCCCAAGGCGAGGGAGGGGGCGGGGGTGAGCGGATAGGTGGCCTCGCCCGCCTGTCTGTGTGTGAGGAGGAGCGGTTTGCCTCGATGGCCGCTGCCGAGCCGTTCGCCGCTGCCTTGTCCACCTG